GGCCTCGGGAGGGGGACGGGCAGGGAGACCCGGCGACTGCCGGGAGCTGGGGGGAGCTTCGCCCGGGTTCTGTCCTGAACTGTAAGGGAAGGAGGCGGCTCAGGTCCGGGTGCCAGGGGCCAGCCGGGGAGAGAGCCCGAGTGGCCAAACAGGGCATGTGGGGAGCCCAAGGGGCCCCAGGGACCGCAGCAGGGCCCAGCCCCAGAGACTCAGCCCCCAGGACGCTGCCCCCCCATATCCCCCATGGGCCCAACATGGCTACCCCAGCACCTCCGCCCGCCCAGTCACCATGGTAACTGCAACCATCGGCAAGCCCACCCGTCACCACGGCGATCACTGCCCCGGGCAAGGAGATCCCCTCCCCCACGGGGCGGGGGCAAGCGGGGACCCCAAAAGTGGACAGAGAGCCAGGCCGCCCCAGCCCTGTGGCCAAAGCCAGCCTGCATGGGCCCGGGGGAGGCTCCAAGCGGCTCTGCCAGGCTCCCAGGCTGGGGGGACTCGGTGTCTGTGGGGAAGGGGGTCACTCCACAAAGCAGCCCCCCCTCCCCGCCCCCCTCCCCAGCCCCTCACCTTTCCCGCAGGCCAGGCCCTGGGGCATCTCCTCTCCATTGCCAGCGTCTGTGCCAGGCACCAGGCTGAGCTTTGACAGGAACTGTGGGTTACAACGGGCTGGTTACCAGCCAGCCAGGCTCCCCATGGTCTCCAACCCCCCACCCCACCCCCCTGAGTAACTCCTGGGCCCAACCCCTGAGTCCCCAGCTTCGGAGACGGGCTGCATGGGGAAATGGTGGGATATGGGGCTCTCTGGGCTCTCCTGGAACGTAGCTGGCCACACGGTGCCATGTCATCACGTCCACTGAGGGTGCTGGGGGAGAGGGATTCGGGGGGCACAGGGCACGGAGTGGGGGCGGGATTGGGGGTGCAGGGGGCTTGGTGTTGGGTGTGGGATTGGGGGTGCAGGGGGCACGGTGTGGGGTGCGGGATTGGGGGTGCAGGGGGATCGGTGTTGGGGGAGGAGGATTGGGGGTGCAGGAGGCTCAGTGTGGGGTGGGGGGATTCGGGGTGCAGGGGGCTCGGTGTGGGGTGCAGGATTGGGGGGGCAGGGGGCTCGGTGCTGGGGGAGGGGGATTGGGGTGCAGGGGTCTCTGTGTGGGGTGTGGGATTGGGGGTGCAGGGGCTCGGTGTTGGGAGAGAGGGAGGGGATGCAGGGGGCTCGGTGTGGGGTGTGGTATTGGGAGTGCAGGGGGCTGGGGGTGGGGTGCAGGATTGGGAGTGCAGGGGGCTGGGTGTGGGATTGTGGGTGCAGGGGACTCGGTGTTGGGGGTGCGGGATTTGGGGTGCAGGAGGCTCGGTGTTGGGGGAGGGGGATTGGGGATGCAGGGGGCACGGTGTGGGCTGCGGGCGGCTCACTCACCTTGGCCGGCAGGAGGGCAAAAGGCTCCGAGCAGCGCCGGGCAGTGGCGTGATCTGGAGGCAGGGACAGGGTGAGATGGGCCCTGGGGGCCTCACTGCCCCCAACCTTCCAACCCCCCCAACTCCGCCCCTCCCCACTCCCCTCCCCCATTGCCAGCCTCCCATTCTCCTGCCCCCCGTTACCTAGGTAGGTGCCGTCCGTGTCCTCCTGCCTCTTGGCTGGAGCCACCTTCCAGGCCTGGCTCTCACAGGGGGGCGCCTCGTACATGTCACCCTCCTCGGACTCCTCCGCCGCACTGGGGCCCTGGGGAGTGGGATGGGGGCAGGTGGGTGCTGCCCTGGGGC